GTGAGAAGTAGGGGTTCAGATTCATCTTTCTACAAGTGGAAATCCAGTTTTTCCAGCACCATTTCCTGAAGAAGTTTTCCTTTTCCCACTGGATTAACTAGTATCCTTTGTCAAAAATCAGTTGACTGTATGTTTGGGAATTAATTGTTCTTTTAACATTTTTTTCTCATGATTTATTTCTTTTAGAAGGATAATTGATAATACAGTAGGAGGAAGTTGGGTTTAACAATATCAAGCTTGGGACCGGCAGGTAGCCTGGTGGTTAAGGGTGCTGGACTCCCACACAGCTGACCGTCTGACCGTGTTTCAAGTCTCGGTCCTGGTGACTTGCTTTTTCTTTCCTTTTTTTTTTTTTTGAGAGGTTTTTGCTATAGGGCGCGTGCACTCGCCAGACAGACAGAGAGAGACATAGAGACAGAAAGTGAGAAATCACCCCCCAGGGAGGATGGTCACGCCGCAATCCCTTCTCCTCCACTCTCCTCTCGGGATCTTGGGCACGCACGCACACGTGCCCGGCATGAGATTTAAGCCACCGGGTCCGGGACGCGAACCGCGGTCAACTACATGGGAGTCCAGCGACATAGCCATTAGGTTAACTGCTGGTTCCCGTGGTGGCTTGCTTTTTCACTTTCTCTCTCTCTCTCTCTCTCTCTCTCTCTCCTCTTGTCAAATATAAATAAATAAATAAATAAAGTTAAAGAATTCTTTTAAAAAAAATAAAGCTAAAAGCATATATGTTCTGTAAATAAAAATGTATCCCATGTTCAGCCTCAGAAGACCTTTGTACCTGAAGGATGTTGGCTTGTTCTTGATATTTGACCCATTCCATTTTCCTCTGTTGCTTTTCCTGGTGGAAGAAAGAGCCTCTGGGTGAAAAAGTAAATTGAGATCAGAAATCAGAAATCAATATACTATAAAAAACTCATAGCAGAATTTTTATGTAATAGACTCACAATAAAACATTTTAAAATCATTTCTCCTTGGGACCAGCAGTTAGTGTAAAGGTTATGTCGCTGGACTCCCATGTAGTCGACCGCAGTTCGAGTCCCAGACCCGGTAGCTTAAACTTACACTGGGCACGTGTGTGTGTGCCCAATATCCTGAGGGTAGAAAGGAGGAGAAGGAATTGTGGCATGACCATCTCCCCGGGTGGTGATTTCTTGCTTTCTGTCTCTCTGTCTCTCTCTGTCTTTCTGGCTAGCGCATGCGCCCTATAGCAAAAAAAAACTCTCTCAAAAAAAAAAAAAGTTCTCCTAATTGGCTTCTCCTATATAATCCACCTTCTAAAAGGTAAAATCTAAATGAAAATGATCATTTTCTGTGAATGACTTGTTATGCAAAGATGAGATATGAATGTGATACATCTAAATAAATTTTCAAAAAAAATTAATAAATATTCTGACATCACACAGTATTGTGGAGTTGTCATTGTTGGTATAGCTTCTTTCACTTCACTTTAGCTAACATTATTTTCCAGATCTTTGAGATGTCACTCTAAATCAAATATGATACTCTAAGAAAACTAGATTACCTATACAAATTTACAGTGGTCAGGGGCACACTATAACTGAGGCACATAATTGCTGCATTAAATATTTCCAGTTTGTCAGCTCTAAAATCTGCTACTGTTCAAAGTGACTGTACTACCTTCCTCATTTCCTTCACTTTCTCTGCAGATGATGTTTCCAATTCATTTTTGGTCTTCATAGTTGATGAGGGGGATTTGAGAGCCTAGGATGAAAGAGAGCTAAAGGAATAGAAGGCCCCAGGAAAGATGTACAATATCTGAGTAGACTATAAGTCCGTTATATCCTAAAGACCCAGATTCTACCTATCTGTCTTCCCAAATTAGCCTTGATTGTTAATAGGCTGTTTCCAGCTGTGTGGGATGAGCGATCTTGAAATTTTAAGTACTTGATGTACACTTGCCTTTCCATCCTGCAAGTCTGCCTTGGTTTTTATCTGTGGTGTTTTTTGTTGATCAATGAGATCTTCTGTCTCAAATGTCTGTGGAAAGACATTTTGGCAAAGCTTTAAATCAGTGGTAATTAATGAGCAAAGTAGAAAAACAATACAGGTCAAGATTTTTGGTTCCTGCCAATCTGAAGCTTCTCAGGGCCCCAAATGAAATATGTTCCACCTAAGGGGGTTCAGGATGTAATGAGCCCTTTCATTTGGTCCCTTGAGTATAACTTAGGATAATAAAAAACACTTACTGAGCCCTTAATATATGCCAATCACTACTGTAAGCTACTTACTACTTTATAATACTTACTCTCACTACTACATTACAGACGTTCTTATTTAAAACTCATAGCTCTTTGGGGACCATTTTCATTTCCATTTTATAGATGAGAAAACTGAAATTTGGGGAGTTTTAGTCATTTGTTTAGAGCACACAAATAGGAAAGTACAGAGCTGCAAATATGAACCAGATCTTTGTGACTCTGAAAAATGTGTTTCTAATGTCTAGGCATGCAATTCTCCATTTCTCCCTATCCAAATATGAGTAAGGGACAATTGATCACAAGCCAAGGTATACGGACATCCCTTATAAAAAGTCATTCAGAAGCTCTGAGAAGCAAGCTGGCTTTTGAAGAGGAGTTATTTTAAAACATTTCTATCATAAGGACCCAAAAACTTAGTAACTAAAACTTCTAACAATTCATAGAACTAATTAGTAGCTGCCACTGAAAACTACAAGCAGATCTCAGAACAAAATGCAGGGTTGAAGGTATGTTGATTATTTATAGAAAGGTGAGAATAAGAAAAAAGCCAATTATCAATTAGAGGCCAGAAGGATGGAGGGAAGAGACAAATAGAGAAATTTTGGTTAATGAAAACAAAATTACAGATAGATAAGAGGGATAATTTCTTATTTTATGAAGTACAGTAGAGTGAATATATTGATAGTTAACAATTTAATGCATACCTCAGAATAGTTTTAAAAAGAGGATATTGAATATACCTAACACAAAGTAAAACAAATGGTTGAGATGATGGATATACCAATTACTCTGATTTAATTGTTGCATATTATATTCTGTCTCTCTTTTTTTTGTTTGAGAGATTTTTGCTATAGTGCATGTGTGCTCACTAGAGAGACAGAAAGAGACAGTAAGATAGCGAGAAATCATCCCCCAGGAGGATGGCCATGCAACAATCCCTTATCCATTCTCCTCTCAGGATTTTGGGCATGCACACAGGCTCCCAGTGTGAGTTTCAAGCTCCCTGGTCCAGGACTCGAACCACAGTCAGCCACGTGGGAGTCCGGTGCCATAACCACTATACCACCTGCTGGCCTCCATATTGTATTCTTGTAACGAAAAGTCACATTGTACTCCATAAATCTGGGCAATTATTATATGTAAAGGGAAAAAAGCAGAGATCACATCGAACAACTGTTTTTATCACAAGACATAATCTGTTCTTCTAGTTGCATAGCTTAGTCTACAAAGGAATCCTTCTCTCTCCAAGATTTCCTAGCAAAAATGGTCTAATATTGTTATCTTAAACTGTCTAGTGATTGTTGTAAAATAAAAGGGGCATTTGGGTTAATTTATTAATTAATTTATTCAACTCACATTTATCTACTATGTTCCAGGTATTCTGCTAAGTGCTAGGGATTCAGACAAAGCAATCAAGATGATATGTTTATAATATTAAAATGTGTTATAATAACATGTTTATAATATAAAAAGTGCTCTGGAGAACATGAATATAGTTGTAAAATAGAAAGTAATTGGAGGATGCCTTTTAAATGGTATAAACAAGAGGGAATTTTCTGAGAAGAGACATTTAACCTGAAACCTGAAGGATGAGAATGAGCTAGCCATGAGAAATGTCATTATAGACAGAAGGTAAAGCAAGATCAAAGGCCTTAAGATAGGATGTTTTAGCACAATTCAGAGACCACAAGGAAGTGAATGTGTATATTATCTGCTGAAGATAATTTTATACTTTTATCAACTGGATTAGGGAGAAATATTCACATGTTGAAATACACATTTTGTAAGCTAAATTATGTGATTGTATAAAAGAAAATGAAATTTTAAAAATATTTAAAAAAAAAAGAAAGCAAGAGGAGGAGTTTTGAGAGTAGTCTAGAAGGTAGGCAAAAGCCAGATTATGCCACAACAAGGAGTGACTGTTAAGGTTTTCATGAAAGTAATGCTTTAATTGTTTTAAAAATATCCCTTTGACTTCTGTGCAAAGAATGGATTAGAATGAGGCATAAGTAGAAGCAGGTACATGAAAAAAAGAGGATGAAGCCCATAGGAAAGGGAGGTTCTTTCCATTATGATCTAGAGGACAATACTTTCTCTTTTTTTTTTTTTTTTTTGAGAGGTTTTTGCTATTTGGCACTCGCCAGAAAGACAGAGAGAGACAGAGAGATAGAAAGCGAGAAATCACTCCCAAGGGGGGATGGCCACGCCACAATCCCTTCTCCTCCATTCTCCTCTCAGGAACTTGGGCACACACACACACACACACACACACACACACACACATGCCCAGCGTGGGTTTAAACCACCGCATCCGGGACTCAAACCGCGGCTGACTACATGGGAGTCCAGCGACGTAGCCATTATGCCATCTGCTGGCCCCATGGAAGACAATACTTTCAGCATACCTTGTTCCATAGCATCTCCATTTCCTTCCGAAGCATCTTGTTTTTCCTTTCCTGTTGGTGGTGTGTCAGGGAAGCAAACAGACAGAAACATATGTTTGTTCAGTCATTAAAGTAAGAAATTACTAATAATGATGAGAAAGGGGTTCAGGGACATAGTCAACTCAGAGGAAGTTCATGAATTGACCTACCTCAAACCTAAGAGCATGAGAGATAAGTTTAATGTTGATGATAATGTTGATGGTTAGAAAAATAACAAAACTTTCATTATGGTGATTATGAAATGGTATCAATAGAAATTAATTCTTATGCTTAAGATTTTTTCATCATATAGCAGTTTCTCTAGGGCTTAAACTACTAATTTTTAATTTTGAAGATTCTTTAAATTGTTGATTTTTAAAATGTGAGACATTCTCAGAACAAGCTATTTGTTTTATTTTCATAAACATTTCTATTCTTTCTGAAATGTGAAGAATTAATATGCTCATATTCATTAACCCCTAGATGAAAAGTTGTAAAAATGTCAAATAATATAATTTCTTTTAGTTAGTCCTTGCTCTTGTCAACATTTCCTCTTTTTCCCTTTGGACCACTTTGGACTTTCTAGATCAATGAGATATGAGTGTTGGGGCATCAAATGCTAGAAATGAATACTGTTTCTTTTCACATGTGACAATGCAATAGAACTGAATCCTCTTTTGGAGGCCATTCTCTGGAATATCCAGCAATTTCTTACCAGGTTCTGTTTCATCTCCTCTGCTTCCTTTATTAGCTCTATGACTGAGGATTCTTCACATCCCTTCCCTGCCATGATCTGTCTCATGATCTGCAGACTAAAATGAAGAGAGACATTATAAAACATACATATGTCCTACAGGAAAATATTAAAATTCTACAAGATGTCAGAAAATACTCTACTATGACTAAAACGATTCCATTCTTCATTGACATTTGATTTAGCTTTGTGCTATGTAATGAATTCCATGTCCTTTAATAATCACAATTTAGGTCTCCAACAATCAGTGAGATCCCATTCCACTTCCTCAGAAGAATGTTTTGGTGTATGATGACTTTGGAGGAGAAAGGGGTGGTTCTGTTCCTGTAAAAGAGGAAGTTGAAGAACCTACTGTCTTAAAGATAAATCCCAAAGTTACTCTATACCTCATGTTGGTCTGCTTCCTCATATCCCCTTGATTCTCAAAATAAACACATTTTAGTTTATTGGGAAAACCATTTAAATCCTTATGGTAGCTGCAGAGAGTACAAGTCATTAAGTTTCTGACAAAATTTGAATCATTATTAAATCTTTGACTGTAAGAGAAATATTCTTTAAAGGCTTTAATTAATTTATGTTTCTGTCCTTTTTACTGATTCCTCTCAAATTCTAATCAGTCAGTCCTTTGAATTCTCCTGTCCTGAGAAGTTTGTGTTGCTGGGTTGTAAGCTCCTGTTTGACCACAACTCTCTGCCTGGCTTTCATTGTCCAAAAACCCTAGTTGGGACCAGCAGGTGGCATGATGGTAAAGATGATGAACACTCCCGATGGCCGACCACATTCAAGTCCTGGAACTGGTGGCTTGCATTTTCACTTTCTGTCTTTTTCTGTGTCTCTCTCTGGTCAAATTAAAAACTAAATGGATTAATAAACAAAATTAAAACCAAACCAAACCAAACAAACAAAAACACCCTGAATTCCTTGAGATGCTAATAAAGATACGGAACTAAGGTAGACACATTGAGGTGAGATTTTTCTAGAAATAAAGAAAACTGTGTAAAGAATGGCGTGAATTTTCTAGTAAAGACCATAACTACCTAGTATGTTTAGAGGCTAACCCTCATTCAGAGGGCTCTAGAAAAGATTGCTGTTCCATCTCACAGCATAGGAAGAGCAGTATAATCTTTCCTAAGGTGATTCTACAAGCATGAATAAGAAAGCTATCAGTGTGACCATGATAGATGTATGCTATTAAATGCTCATTCCTGTTTTTTTTTTCTTTTTTGTGTGTGTGTGTGGGCACCCTAAAGAGCAAAAGAAATAATGAGTATATATTAACTGTAGCTCCAATGAGCCATATTTAATTTTACTAAAAGAAGATGAAAGATTTGTCATCTTGATTTTTCTGGTTATATGTTTGTTTGATTTTTACATACTACAGCTAAATGTCCAAACCTGTTAATTAAAAATAAAGTCAAATAACTATTACCAATCTACGCAGTTTAAGTTCTCCAGCCCTTCTATCTATAAGAATCCCAAGTAGGGAGCCATTACCTTCTTTGTTTTTCTTCCAAGTTAGACATTAACTTCTGGAATAAAAGGTCGTTCTTATCCTCTAGAGGTTTTAGCATCTCTAGCAGTTCCTGTTTCCTTAGCTTTAAATCCTCATTCAGTTCCTTCAAGTAGTTGTCATCTATTTTAGAACTTCTGTGGGAAGAAACACCATTTTAAATATCTGCCTTTAACCTGGGTTGATAGTGAGAGACCCTCTTTTACAGTTATCATTTAGCAGCTTCCATCAAAGACTCACCTTATTTTTGAGGGCATGTAAGATCCTGAAGAGTTTGTACCACTTATCATTTTGAAGGGAAATTTTTATGCTAAGAATAAAGAAGACTTTTGAAAAAAATGTACCTTCTTTTCCCATTCAGTTAAGTCATCATTTTTTTGTGTGTGTGCTACTGATCTTGAAACCCTATTGCATTGGACTGATTATAGCTACACTTGAGGTCACAATGGCCCTAAAACAAAAATCAACATGTCTTATGTAACCTCAGCATCAATAGCAGCTTGTCAACTGAAAATACTTACTATATCTGAGCACTTCTTATCTCAGCTTTAGCCAAACACCTAAAATTGTATTCTGAAGTCTTTGAGTGAAGAGAATAGAATCACCTTGTCTCTGCATTATGGAATTCCTACTGTGTTAGAAAATGGGGACCTGTCAAACATAACTCATCAATACCATCTCTGATGGCAACAAACCTCTATGGAATGCTTACTCTCTATGGGGCACAATATGAAGGTTTCAAATGTGAGTTAAGTCTTGTTAGCTTCAAGTATTAACAGCATTTCCATCTAATTTCTAGTGGTGTTCTTCAAAGTAACTTGAATTCTTAGTCTTTGTGGAAATCTTAAATGCAGAGTATTCTAGTGGAAATAATGCAAGACTTAATTTGTCAGAACTTGATTTGGATCTCGGCTTCACTGTGAGCTGCCTGTTAGCAAGTTCTAAATTCTCTGTGCCTCACACTGCACTTTTGTAAAAATGAACATGGTAATATTGACCTGATAAGTTTGTTGTGAACAAGAAGTGTAATACTATGTAAAGAGCCTGGCTCATGTTAAGTGTTCACATTTTAGTGGGTTTTTGTTTGTTTGGCTTGGGTTTTGGGATTTTCTTTTTTTTGGAGAGGTTTTTGCTATAGAGCGCGTGCGCTCGCCAGACAGACAGAGAGAGACAGAGAGACAGAAAGCGAGAAATCACCCCCCAGGAGGGATGGCCATGCCGCAATCCCTTCTCCTCCTTTCTCCTCTTGGGATCTTGGGCATGCACGCACACGCGCCCGGCGTGAGTTTAAGCCGCCAGGTCCGGGACTCGAACCGCGGTCGACTACGTGGGAGTCCAGCGATATAGCCATTACACTAACTGCTGGTCCCAAGGGTTTTGGGATTAAACAATGCCCCCTGGTTAGATTTTAAAAAATTGTTTATATGAAGCTTAAGCTTCAGTGCCCATCATTTTCACAAACTTTTAAAAAAGGCTCTGAACTTCATTTTGTATTCATAATTTTGTATTGTCTTTTGGAAAGAGATTTTTTTCCAAATTGTATATGCTTTAGGATTCTACAAATCCTGGACCTACCGTTGATTAGACAGGCACAGATATTTCCTAAGTATCCCCTTCCATCAAAACTTCTTATGCAATCTCTACAAATACCATTTTTCAAGCATACATGTGTCACTTGTAAGTTTTATATGATACCTAGTGTGTATTATATTAAATTAGAACTGTTGTATCAGGTCAATCATAATTCACATAGGTTGCCCTAGGAATTTCTACAAAATGTTTCAAGTGAATGAAGGTAAACAAACTCTTTACAGTTAAAAGAAAGAACTGGGTGGACTAATTATTATTAGTAGCAATCTTAGATTACTCATGTGACAGGGGATAACAAATAGAGGACAAAAATGGCATTGATCCTTCAGCATAGGTTTTTAAAATTTCATGTTGTGACATTTGGCAGAACTATGATAGAATTAAAAAATATTTAATGGACAAGCAACATCCTAACTCACCTTCCTTTCTGTCTTTGCCTGTGAATGGCTCAAAGAGGAAGAACACTTATTATTCTGATGTGTTCTTTTCTATAGCCAATCAGAACTTTTTATTTCCTAACATTCCAATTCCAATGCCCATTTGTTCAACTTGCAATATGAATTCCAAGGAGAATATTTGCCTGATAAAAATATATACAGACTTTGGAGGAAAGAGCTTAAAAATCAAAAACTATATTGAGAGGGGATAATTTATGTACAGCATTGTCCTCTGGAACAGTAGACAAGGGGGATGAAGCTGTAAATGACAATTAGAAGTGGAAGGAGTGAAGTTAAACACTAGTTTTTCTCAAGTAGAAAGTTTGGCCATCTGGGGCCAGCAGGTGGCATGGTGGTTGGGGTGCTGGACTTCTACATGGTCAACCACAGTTTGAGTTCTGAACCTGGTGGCTTGCTTTCTCACTTCTCTCTCTCTCTTTCTCTGGTGAGTACATGTGTTGTATAGCAAATTAAAACACAATAATTAATTAGTTAATTATTTTAAAGAAAGAAAGTTTGTTCATCTGTTGATTGAGAAGGTGTGTTAGGAAATCTTGGAAATGTGATGATCTGAGATTTGGAATAGCACCTAAGCCAACCAGGCAAGAGTGAAAGGATTATCAAATATTGCTAAGGGTCAAGGTGAGTTTGGAAAGTACAGATTTATCATGGCATGAATCAGTAGTTAAACCATTTTCTTCAGCAGTATCTGACAAACTAGAAGCCATACTACAGAGAATGGATAGTTTGACTCTGACTTGGGACTTGGCAGAATGAGTAAGAAGAATTCAAGTGAGGAAAGAGACTCAGAGTGCTAGTGAGAATATCTGTTAAAAAGTCCATCATACTGTTCAGACTATTCAGGTAAGAAAGTGAATGGGGGTAGTGAATAACAGGGGAAACTAGAAAAGGGTTGTAATTAAGGAGGATGAGGTTACAAGTACAGAGGTTTTGGTCAATGAGCATACTTCTTATGAAACAACTTGTGAAACCTTACGCTGTCAAGATAAATTATAGTAGCAATTCATAAAATTTGTTTCTTCAGTAAATTTTCTATCTCTTGCTTTCCATCGCTGCATATGATTTACTGGAATTCATGTGGTCCCTCAAAATAGGCCTTTTGACAATATATTCACAATGACCTCACCCAACAATATAGCATTTGATTTTAGTATCTGTTAAGAAAAAGTGTGATTGCTCTATAATTAGAGAACTCAGAGAAATACCATTTTAGTGTTAGTTTTGCCAGTGGAAAATCAGATTAGTCTAATTAAGCCAGGTCTCCAAGAGTAGAGGCAATTACTTTTATATTAATGTAAAAAAGGAGACGCTTTCCCACCTTTGCCTCTCTCAGCTTCAGTTGTGGTAACAAAATTACAAAATTCTTCAGTCAGGAAACTCAAGGACCTTCTGGTTCTCTCTGACCCAAAGCCAGTTCAATCCTTGAGGGGATTATGAATTCCATTAGCTAAAATAAGGAGAGAACCACTAGTAAAATCATAATAGCAAAAATTCTTAGCTCTTAAAGATCACCCACATACTCCTTCCTGTTTGTTATGACCATATTTTTGGGGGGGTGGAGGGTACCTTTTCTTTAGCCCTAGCTATAACTGTCTCAATCCAGGCTGTACCTACACTTGGAGTGAACCTAGGGAGTTGAAAAGAGCGAGATAAATTTGGGGACTTTCTTTTACTGTTGACATCTCTTTAAAAATAGTATTTTCGCTCAGTGTGTCCAAATACTTACTTTAATGATTTTCAAACTGAAGTATATAAACTTTCACAAAGACTTTACAGAAATCTGGAAGCGGGACCAGCAGTTAGCGTAATGGCTATGTCACTGGACTCCCACGTAGTCAACTGCGGTTCGCATCCCGGACTGGGTGGTTTAAAACTCACGCCGGGCGAGTGTGTGTGCGTGCCCAAGATCCTGAGAGGAGAACTGAGGAGAAGGGATTGCAGCGTGGCCATCCCCCCTGGGGGCTGATTTCTTGCTTTCTGTCTCTCTGTCTCTCTCTCTCTCTCTCTGGCGAGCGCACACGCTACAGCAAAAACCTCTTCCAAAAAAAAAAAAAAAAGATAAGAAATCTGGAAGCAAGAGTAATTCTTAGAGGATCTTTTCCTAGATCCTCAATTTTCCCAAGTACTCTCTATTGAAATGGATCTACCTGAGAATGCCACTTTTCTCACTTTCCCTTTGCCAGCCACCCTTCACTTACTTTTAAAAGAATGGAATATCTCCCAACCAGTTGGAATCTTACTTCAATGACTTGCTTTGGGTGCGTGTAAAAATATCTAGAGTATTAAACTAACCACAATTCAAAATGTTGGTATTAGGATTAAAGAGAGTGAGTGACAATGACTAGATTACAGAATATTTTTCAAATAAGGTGGTGTTCAATTATTTGCTATCAACAAAATTGAAGGGAGATCTAATTGAACTGTCAGATAAATTTATTAAAATTAAATTTTTATGATGAATTACTATATGATTTTTGGCTTTCTGAAGTATTAATCACACTCACAGAATCTTTGGCACAGAAAAAGTTGTGCCCTTCTCAACTCCAATGCTTTCTCAGTCACAGACCAATGACATTATGAGGTCTTAAAGTAGTTACCCTCTTGCAGTATTTGCTTAAAATATGTAAAGTTTTTCTTGCTATTTCTGGCTTATAATTCAAGAGGTCAAAGTTTTGAGTAACACTGTTCTAACAAAATACTTTCCATTCCTATCTACTTATTTGTGTAAACAAGTTTTCTCAGTGAGTACTCTATGTAAAGCAAAGCATGTAAGTACAATTGATGCTGAAGCCTTTTAACTATTATGATTATTTTAAGTTTCTTTCATAAGAGGGAGAGGGAGACAAGCACTCTCACCAGGGTCTCAGATCACAATCTTTCCCATCTCCCCAGTCTTCCTCAAGAGCCAGAGTTGGGGCACACATACCCAATGTGTACAATTGTCCCATGAACCGAATCCATGATCTTCCATACGGATCCAGCATTGCTTGTGCAGTGCATTACCACTGTACCACTAAGCCAGCCCTGATTCTAGCAATAAGTAATACTCTTCTAATTCTAGCAATAAGTAATACTCTCCTATAAATACATGAACTGAGGGAAAAAAACCTATCCGTCAAACTAATAAAAGCATTTCTAAAATATATATCATATGCAATATATAACATCCAATATGTATATGCTTTTGTCGATTGTATACTAATGAAATTTTTATACTCACTCAAATCTAGAGAAATTTTAATACATAGCACCTTAAGGTCACAGGAAATAAAATAAAATAAAATTTCAATATACATATATACTTATTTTACAGAGAAATATGATAGGATGTTTTTAAAAAAGACTTAAGCATAGCATACATTGCATCAGAATATAATTCTGTCAGGTAAATGTGACAAAAACATGAGTTCAAGGAGAATATGTAAAAATTTTGACACTGAGGAAGAATTTATTTATTTAGAATTGATTTAAGCTTCATTGGATACATTTAAAGTGATATTAAGGATATATTTGAAAACACAAATCTTATAATACACCAGATATTATATTTGAGAGCTATTTAAAATTAGAATAAGAAATTTTAGATGTCAACTTAAAAATTGTAAAATGGCATCTACTTTTTAAAAATTATTTTAAAACACACAAACAGGGAACCAGCAGGTGGTGTAGGGGTTAGGGCGCTGGACACTCCCACAT